CCTTCCGAGGAGTGGCTGGTGGGTTTGAACCGCCAGCCGTCTGGTTAGCAGGCAAGTGTCTTAGCCACTATGCTACCAGAGCTCCTAGAACTAGTAAATGTATAAGCAAATATAGCTCTTCTGGAGCTCAACCTGGCAGTGTGGCTTAGGTATATACCATGTTACCCATCTCCTTCCTTCAGGAAATCTGTTATACAGATCCATAAGAAAACATGTACGAAGATGTTTGTTACGGCATTTTATAGCAGGGACTTGGAAATGGGAGAAGAATTGGTAAAATGTGGCTGAGATATATGGTATATAGCAGGGTATTATTTATATAAATTAGAAATATACACAAACTAATTTATAAGAATACATCTGTATCAAAAACCAAACCAGTTGCTATCAAGTTGACTTCAACTCCTGGTAACCTCATAAATGTCAGAGTAGAACTATGCTCAATAGGTGTTTCATTGGCTAATTTTTCAGAAGTAGATAATCTAGCCTTTCTTCCAGGGTACCTCTGGTTGGATCTGAACCACCAACCTTTTAGTTAGGAGTCAGTAACTTAACCATTTGGACCTGTATAAATTACATTAAGCTGAGTGCCAAATGTCAGGAGGAAGAATTGGGAGTGGATCATCAGGGATAGTGGGTAAAAATAATAAGGGTAAATAAAGCAAGACTGGGGCTTCTAGCTGGGAACTGTAATGGCACAGGATTTGACGTGCTCAGCTACTAACCTAAAGGTTTACAGTTTGAAGTTACCAGCTGCTCCACAGGAGAAAGATGTGGCAGTCTGCTTCCATAAAGATTTACAGTCTTTCTCTATGGGCCAGTACTACTCTTTCTCAAAGGGTCGCTATGAGTTAGAATCAGCTTAACAGTAGTGGGTTTGGTTTTGGTTTGGGGTTTCTAGCAAGCTATAGGAGCTCTGGTAGCATAGTGCCTCAGCCCTTGACTACTAACCAGAAGGCTTGTGGTTCAAACCCATCAGCTACTCCTCGTGAAGAAGATGGGGCAATCTACTTCTGTAGTGATACTGCCTCAGAAACCCAAGGAGGGGTTGCTGTGAGTTGGGTCCGACTCGACGGCACATAACAACAACAGCAAGCTATGCTGATAGTATTTCATGGACTAAGTTATTAACTGTGTACACCTAATATGCCTCCTAAAATGTAAAATTCAGTTCATGTTTTTTAAAAAAATGAAAAAGTAAATCAATTATATCAAAAATTTTAAAAAAGAAAGAAAGAATATAAAAATATTAAAAAAGAAAGGGCCATGTGGGATAGAGACTCCTTTGTTTGTCATTTATTAATGGTAAAATTTTAATTACTGTTAATTTTTAAGCTTTCACTGAGTATTAGTTCTACATTGCTCTAACATCTTCTAAAAGTATTTTACCTTCTCCATTAAGTAGCTTGAAATCTGAAGCACAGAAGAAATTGTGATAGAAAAGAACCCCTCTTTCTAATCTATCCTTTTAAATTTTGGGGTTATAGTTGATTATCAGTTTATCGAAAATTACCACATTATCTAAAACTCTAAATTTTGGTTTAATACCTTTTTTACTGGGTTTGTTTTCTTGTTTGTTTGTTTGTTTGTTTGAAGTGTTTCTCCTTCTCCAACTACCCTTTTGGGAAGTAAATATTAGAAATAAAATATTAACCAGGAAACAGGAGTCTTTGAAGGATAAGAAGCCAAGTAATGTAGGTTACAGGATTGAATTCTTGTATCTTTCTATTATTATCCATTCCCATGTCCCCACAAAAAAAAAAAAATCCTGTTGTGCACTGCTTAAAGACCGAGGCCATCAGAATCACAGTCTTTGTAGCACTTAATCTTTCATAGTAAATTTTGCCCCCTCTCTTCTCACAATTCAACCATCACCTACCACTTGGATGCCAGATTACCCAGCATTAACGCTCTACCAAAATATTCTGGGTTGTCTTCTTTTTACTCTTGCATACTCAAAATTGTTACCTAATTGTTACCTCCTGAGTAGATCTCTGAAATAAAGTTTATTATAAATATTTTTTAAAGCAATTTCTTGGGTATTGTGAAGAATTACTATTAAACTAGTCACAACCACAATTTTTATTGCTGCTGTTTCAGATATATTTTGTCATACTTTATATGAAGAAACAAAGAATGAAGTTACTTATCTTGAGCATTTTATTCTTTTTTCATTTTTTTTTTTTTAAGCCTCTAGAACTAATCTGTAAACTAACTTGGCAGCTTTGTGATAATGTATTTTTAACATTGAAAAATTAGCACTAGAAAATTTACTCTTAATAGTAAATTTCTTCAAGAGCCAAAATTTAAGAGTAAAGTAAGTATACAGGAGAAAAGTTGAGCAAAATTTTATATGATTCTAAGTGAAATACTTGTGCATTTATAACAGGCCTGGAGCCCTAGTCTTGGCTTATGTCCTGTATAGTACTTGGTTCTTTTTAGGGGCTTCTTCTACATATTTTTTAGTTACCAAATTTTGAGAAGTTGCAGAGTCAGACACATCTGGGCTGGATTTTCAACTCTGCCATTAATTGAGTAACTTACTTCATCTATGAACTTCAGTTCCTTCCTTGATCTATGGAAATACTATCTGTCTTTCCAGAGTTGTTGTTCCCAGAAATCTTTGAAGGATCAGAAGCCAAGTAATGTAGGTTATAGTGTTGAATTCTTGTGTCTTTCTATTATTATCCATGCCATTACGTAAGATAATGTACATAAAGCACTGGTGCAATGACTGCACCTTATGTGGTGCTCAGTAAGCACAGTTAGTATAAAGACAATCTGCCTTCTGCTTAGCTTAGTCAGATCCCAATGCTGTTTGAAACTGATCAAGGATCCTGAGTAACTTCTAAAATAGAGTAGTCGAAGTTGAGTCTGAGGTCATGACTGCTCTAAATCTGACAATCTCACCTCATAACAGAACTAAGGCTCCTCTTGATTTTTTCTCTTTTTTTGTAACTTCTTTTCTGGTATAAAGATCACATATGCCAGTTGAGAAGTACAGAATTTATTTTTAACTTAAATTTTAAAGCTTTAAATATTCCCTTTAGTTTTTTGTTAATATGATAAATTGTTAATATAAGTTGGTCTCACCTGAAATAAATACTATTTTGTAACTTTTCAATCAGTCCATTCACATTTTTTCAGAATATATAATAAAATTCTTACTAATCAGTCATACATATAAAGAAGAAATAAATAAACAAATTATTTGTTTGCATAAATAAATAAATATTTATCAGGTGTTTACTATATACTGGGCACTGTCTGAAGGCTTTGTTTACATTAATAGTCATTTAACCAACCTGTAAAGTAGATACTGCTATTGATCCTATATATAAAATATAGATGAGACAAATGAGATACAAAGGAGGTAAGTAGTTTGCCTTAGTTCACACATCTGAGTAGAACAACAGATATTTATTAAAATTCATTTATTGTTAAACATGCAAACAATTAATTTGGAAAAGATAAAGGAGAATTCCAGAGGTAAAGTCTGTATGGTTTATCACCATATAAATCGGACAAGACTTAGCGAATTGTACAGGGTTTTCACTAAGAAATTTCAAGCTGCCATCTGTCTCTGGAATAATATGTAGATATTGTGATGTGTTCAAGTGTCATACTACCTGCTTCCATGGAAGGAAACAGATTTTTGAATCATATTCTTTGGGCTTGGTCCCAGAAAATGAAATGTATGACTTACGGTAGTGACAGGAACTTTGAATTATTCCTTTTATAACTAAGAAGATATTAAAGTATATTAACTGTACATAGTTATAGAGATATAAATATGAAATTTTTCATTTAATACTTTGCTAAAGAATAATTTGAGAAATTTATAGAAATCTTTAAGTGAAGGCTTGTGAGCCTTCCAAAAACTAAGATTTATTTTATACACTTTTCAAATGGCATTGAAGAGCAGTTAATTGTCATTTAACTTCTTACACCATTTTTAGCCTAGTTTGGCTCAATGTTTTCTAATAAAAAAGATTTGAAGAACATAAATTATAAGGTGAAGTGGTGAGAAATGGGAAGAATTTCTTCAATCCCAGTTTCAAAAATATTCTGGTAGGTTGTGGGGGCAGAGGGACTCACATTATGGAAATCCTTTAATATAAATTTGTCTGGTGTCTTTTTTTTATTTTGTTTTGTTTTGCAGCGCAAGACTCATCAGTTTTTTGTAAAATCTTTTACTGCTCCTACGAAATGCCACCAGTGTACCTCATTGATGGTGGGTTTGATAAGACAAGGCTGTTCATGTGAAGGTAAGAACAAAATGGAGAGAAAGCAAATTTAGCGTTCTAACATTTACTGCTAAAATTGTAATCAAGTAACATTATTATCTTTAACAGGTATGTAAACATTTGTCTATCTTATTTACTCATTTGCTTCTTTGGGTAACAGGGATGGAGACAATAAACTGAGCTAAAATCTGTTGAATACTGGAAAACTAGACAGATGGTTGCTAGAAACATTTTTCAAGGGGGATATATTTGAATGTTTCATTCTGTATTTGTTTCATTATGCAGGTGAATTTGTGGTTCTGAATAAAATCATTGACCTCTATGACAGGAGAAATTAAAGTTATCCTTAAATCTATTAATTTAATTTTAACATTATTTAATTTATTAGAGAAATTATTGTTGTAAAGCAGGCAGTGCCATATCTCTTCAGAAATGTTAAATGTCTGCCGCTGTACCTTAAAAGATATTTTATTCCTAGTGTTAATACCAACTGCCATCAAGTCAATTTTGACTCATAGTGACACTTTCAGAGAGAGTAGAACTGTCCCATAAGGTTTCCAAGGCTGTAAATCTTTACAGAAGTAGACTGCCTAATCTTTCTCCCATGGAGCAGCAGATGGGAGCTTTAGACCTTTTGGTTAGCAGCTGAATATTTTAACCACTACGCCACCAGAGCTCTTCCAGTATTAATAGCAGAAGTTTTTCCATACCTGTTATCTGATTCACCCATCACATGTTTATGGAATGCTAGCTCTATGCTTCTAGACACTAGAGTACAGCAGCAGATGGGAGGAAAAGACAAAGGTTCTGCCTTGGTGACCTTATATTCTGAGAGATGAAGGAGAAAGGATCAGAGATCATTTGAGCAGAAAACAAAATGTAATTGTTTAGGTGCCATTTTATTTTTCCTAGGACTTCTGAAATGAAAATGATTTAAAGTTGTTGTTGTCGTTGTTAGGTGCAGTCGAGTCAGCTCTGACTCAGCAACCCTGTGTACAACAGAGTGAAACACTGCCAAGTCTTGTGCCAGCCTTGCAACCCTTGCTGTAATCAAACCCATCATTGCAGCCACTGTGTCAGTCTAACTCGCTGAGGATCTTCCCCTTTTTTGTTAACCCTCCACTTTACCAAGCATGGTATCCTTTTCCAAGCAATGGAACCTTCTGACAACATGACCAAAGTAGGTCAAATGAAGTCTGGCCGTTCTTGCTTCCAAGGAACATTCTAGCTGCACTCTTTCCAGGACAGAATTGTTAGTTCTTTTGGCAGTCCAGTATTCTTCACAAACACCACAACTCAAAAGCATCAGCTCTTCTTCAGTCTTCCTTATTCATTGTCCAGTTCTCACATACATATGAGGCAATTGAAAATACCATGGCTTGGGCACACCTTAGTCTTCAAAGAGACATCTTTGCTCTTCAGGACTTGAAAGAGGTCTTTTGCAGCAGATTTGCCCAGTGCAATATGACACTTGATGTCTTGACTGCTGCTTCCATTGGTGTTGATTGTAAAACCAAGTAATATGAAATCTTTGACAACTTCAATCTCTTCTCCATTTATCGTGATGCTGCTTATTGGCCCAAGTTGTGAGGATTTTCATGTTCTTTATGTTGAGATATAATCCATACTACAGACTGTAGTCTTTAATCTTCATCAATAAGTGCTTCAAGTCATCCTCATTTTCAGCAAGCAAAGTTGCATCGTCTGCATATCACAGGTGGTTAATGAGTCTTCCTCCAGTCCCCATGTCACGCTCTTCTTCATATAGTCCAGCTTCTCAGATTATTTACTCAACATACAGATTGAATGAGTATGGTGAAAGGATACAACCTTAACACACTCCCTTCCAGTTTTAAACCATGCAGTATCCCCTTGTTCTATTTGAAAAACAGCCTCCTGGTCTATGTACAGGTTCCTCATGAGTACAATTAAGTACTCTGGAATTCCCATTCTTCTCAATGTTATCCATAATTTTTTATGATCCACATGATCAAATGCTTTTGCATAGTCAATAAAACACAAGTAAACATCTTTCTTTATTCTTTGCTTTCAGCCAAGATCCATCTGACATCAGCAATGATGTTCCTTGTTCCACGTCCTGTTCTGAATCCAGCTTGCATTTCTGGAAATTCTCTGTTAATATACTGCAACAACTGTTTTTTAATTATCTTCAGCAAAATTTTACTTGCATGTGATATTAATATACTGTTCAATAATTTCCACATTCTGTGGGATCGTCTTTCTTGGAATGGGTACAAATATGGATCTTTTCCAGTCAATTGGCCAGGTAGCTGTCTTCTAAATTTCTTGGCATACACAAGTAGTTAGTGCCTCCAGCATGACATCCATTTGTTGAAACAGCTCAAAGGAATGAAAACATCAATTCCTAGAGCCTTGTTCTTCACCAATTCTTTCAGTGCAGCTTCAACTTCTTCCTTCAGTACCATTGGTTCTTGATCATATTCCACCTTCTGAAATGGATGAACATCGACCAATTCTTTTTGGTACAATGACTCTGTGTATTCTTTCCATTTTCTTTTGATGTTTCCTGCAACATTCAATGTTTTACCAGTAGAATCTTTCAACATTGCAACTTGAGGCTTCAGTTTTTTCTTCAATTCTTTCAACTTGAGAAATGCTGAGCATATTCTTCCCTTTTGGTTTTCTAACTTGAGGTCTTTGCACATTTCATTATAATAATTGACTTTGTCTTTTCCAGCTGCTCTTTGAAATCTTCTGTTCAGTTCTTTTATCTTGTCATTTCTTCCACTGGCTTTAGCTAGTCTCCATTCAAGGGCAAGTTTCAGAGTCTCTTCTGACATTCATTATGGTCTTTTCTTCCTTTCCTTTTTAATGACCTTTTGCTTTCTTTATGGATGATATTCTTGATGTCATCCCACAGTTCCTCTGGTTTTAGGTCATTGGTGTTAAACGCATCAAATCTATTATTTAGAGGGTCTCTAAATTCAGGAGGGATATAATCAAGGTTATATTTTGGTTCTTGGGGACTTGTTTTAATTGTCTTCAACTTCAGCGTGAACTTGCATATGAGCAGTTGATGGTCTGTTCCACAGTCAGCTCCTGGCCTTGTTTCAGCTGAAGATATTGAACTTTTACATCACCTCTTTCCACCAGTGTAGTTGATCTGATTCCTGTGTATTCCATCTGGCAAAGTCCACGTGTATAACCACTGTTTATGTTGTTGAAAAAAGGTATTTGCAATGAATAAGTCATTGGTCTTGCAAAATTCTCTCATACAATCTCCAGTGTCATTTCTATCACCAAGGCCATATTTTCCAACTACCAGTGATTCTTCTTTGTTTCCAACTTTTGCATTCCAGTCACCAGTGATAATCAACACATTTGACTGCACGTTTGGTCAATTTCAGACTGCAGAAGTTGGTAAAGATATTCAACTTCCTCATCTTTGGCTTTGGTTATTGGTGCATAAATTTCTGTAATAGTAGTATTACTGGGTCTTCCCTGTAAGCGTATGGATATTATCCTATCACTAGCAGCACTGTACTTCAGTATAGATCTTGAAACATTCTTTGTGATGATGAATGCCATGCCATTTCTCTTCAATTTGTCATTTCCAGCATAGTAGATCTTATGGTTGTCTGATTCAAAATGGCCAAAATCAGTCCATTTTAGCTCACTAATGCCTAGGATCTTGATATTTATGTGTTCCATATCATTTTTGACAACTTCCAATTTTCCTAGATTCATACTTCATACATTCTGTGTTCTGATTACTAATGGATATTTGCAGCTGTTTCTTCCCAGTTTGAGTCATGCCACATCAGCCATTGGAGGTCCTGAAAGCTTTGCTCCATCCACATCATTAAGGTCAGCTCTACTCTGAGGAGGCAGCTCTTCCCCAGTCGTATTTTGAGTACCTTCCAACCTGAGGGGCTTATCTGCCAATACTGTATCAGACAGGATTTTAGAATTATTTATAAAGAGTTCCAGTAATAGACAGTGTGTCACTATTCATAAGGTTTTCACTGGCCAATTCTTTGAGAAGTAGATGGCCCCTTCCTTCTTCTGAGTCTGTCTTAGTCTGGAAGCTCTGCTAAAATCTGTCTACCATGGGTGACCCTGCTGGTATTTGAAATACCAGTGGCATAGCCTCCAGCCTTACTGCAGTACACAAGCCACCACAGTACAACAAACTGACATGGTGAAAATTATAGTGGGATATGTTATTTATTACTGCATATAAGCTTTCTTCATCCAGTGAGACTTGCCTTATATTTGATGTACTGCTTTGCTAAATAATAGTCTGATTATCTTATGAAAAAGATAATTGTTAATTCAAATTCTGATACTAGTTTCCATTTCTTTCTTCTTTCATTCTTAAGGTTGAAAGAGTCCTTATAGGCGATGGTAATCAGTCACCATCAGATGCATGTGTTTTCTTCATATAATATGCTTATAGTTAGCCTGTATTTGAATGCTTGAGGAAATTAATAGCATCTTATGGCAATGTATATTGTTTGGTTAGTTCTTGCAACCAAAGTGGAAAATGCAGATTGCATTGTCTAATTAGTCCATAAGATACATGCATTTCTTTGAGAGTTACGAGCATACAAAGTCGTAAATATGAATAACATTATCCAAGAAGGGCATGTAGAATAGCATAGTAATCCAAATAGGAGTAGTCTGTATCATTGATTGAGAAAGTGTGACTGAAGCTAAAGAAAGAGAGAATGCATATCGCTTTCAAGTCTTACCTCATTTGGAACTTAGCTGATGCTTATAAATGTTTGTAAAAAGTCATTTTAAAATCTGTTTATCAGAGAGAATCCAGAGTAGCTAGTTGGCTTTAAGTCCCTTATCATTTTGGATGCATCAGAATAATGTGCAACTCCATAGTAGGGGTTTTTGAGATTTTCTCAAACTCTATTCTCTTCTAGAGTCTTATCCCATGAAATTGTGCCTATCTTTTCTACAAACTTTGGAGACATATTCAACTTTGCCCAACCTTTGTCTGCCATAGTTTGGTAAACATGATATTA